ACTGGGGAATTGTCCATTTTACTTATCAAAGAACAAGCTATTGATACTGTGGAATTTATCTGCTCTATTCATTTCCTAGCCCATATCTGAATTATTTTGTATTCTATTTACTTCTGTTTATTTTGGATTCCTTCTCTTCCTCCTCTTTCTTCTTCAGCATCATTTCTTAGAATATAACTATAGATCATTGATTTTAAACTTTCCCCATATCACTCAAATTTTGACATGTTGTTTATATTATCATTTAGCCAAAAATATTTTTATATTTTTGATGTGATATTTTTCTTTGATCTATTTTTTTCTGTAAGTATGTTGCTTAATATCCAACTACTTTGGAATTTTATATCCATCAATTTGATTTCTACTTCTACTTTTCTTCTACTTTATCCAAAGAAGTGCTGATACAACTTTACTTCTTTTATTTTTATTATGACTCAACATATGACCTTCTGCATTTGAGGAGTATCTCCTCAGCAGGTGATATGTGTGTGTGTGTGTGTGTGTGAATAGTGACTATATATATAATAACTGCAAGTTCAAGTAGGTGAATCATTGTACTGATTATTTTCATCTACTTGTTCTTTAAATGAAGGAAAAAAGGCCATTAAAATCTCTGACTATAATTATTTTTCTATTTTTCCTTTAATTCAATCAATTTTTGGTTTCAAATATATATATATATATATATATATTATATATATATATGATTATACCAAGATTTTGGCCATTTATTATTTTGACAGTCCTCTTTGTCTTTGGCAATATCTGTGTTTTTGTGTCACTTTTCTGACACAAAAATCAGTACATTACTTTCTTATGGTTACCTCAGCAAGATTGTCGGAGCCAGTAGTGGGACTGTGCCTGTGTGATTTGGCATCTGGCCTTGTGAGAAAGCTCCAAGGAACTGAGGCAAAGGTCTCAGGGCCAGACGTCCAGAAAAACAACAGTGTTTAAGGTTCCCCAGATGGCTTCATGTCCTTCAGATGTAAATAAGAAGGTTATGCTGACTATGTGCTTCTCCTGCCTCCCTGTTCCCATTTTAAAAGAGACATAACAAAGATAGAGTTAATATTAACTGTGCTTCCTTGAACTAATGTAAACTTTACATGTAATACTTAGCATGCTTTTTCTGACCAAATGCTCTCTGTGAAAAAACAGCTTATAAAAAGCAGAAGTGATCTTCAATAAAGTGGCTATTGAACACAACTCCATAGTCCCCTCATCTTTTTAGGCTCTGATCACCCAGGTCCTGCTGATAAATGGCAACACAAGATAACGTATTTTTCTGGTTTTTTTCCTTTTAGCCTCTTTGTGCCTTATTTTAAAAAATGGTTTTCTTTTTATTTATTTATTTATTTATTTTATTCATATGTGCATACAAGGCTTGGGTCATTTCTCCCCCCTGCCCCCACCCCCTCCCTTACCACCCACTCTGCCCCTTCCCTCTCCCCTCAACCCCCTCAATACCCAGCAGAAACTATTTTGCCCTTATTTCTAATTTTGTTGTAGAGAGAGTATAAGCAATAATAGGAAGGAACAAGCGTTTTTGCCGGTTGAGATAAGGATAGCTATACAGGGCATTGACTCAAATTGATTTCCTGTGCATGTGTGCTACCTTCTAGGTTAATTCTTTTTGATCTAACCTTTTCTCTAGTTCCTGGTCCCCTTTTCCTATTGGCCTCAGTTGCTTTTAAGGTATCTGCTTTAGTTTCTCTGCGTCAAGTGCAACAAATGCTAGCTAATTTTTTAGGTGTCTTACCTATCCTCACCCCTCCCTGTGTGCTCTCACTTTTATCATGTGCTCAAAGTCCAGTCCCATTGTTGTGTTTGCCCTTGATCTAATGTCCACATATAAGGGAGAACATACGATTTTTGGTCTTTTGGGCCAGGCTAACCTCACTCAGAATGATGTTCTCCAATTCCATCCAAAAAAATGGTTTTCTTATTAAAAGCACATAATTAGTTCTCCCACTAGATAATTTGTGCCTTCCACTTGTGGAGCTCAGTCCATTCACACTTAACCCTCTGTCAGTGCAACAGTAATGAGGAATTCACCCTGCAGGTACTCTACTCCTATGTCTGCCTTTCATTTCTTTTGCCTTCATTGGGATCACCTGATCATTCTTTAAAATTCCATCTTGTCCTCTACGCTGGCTTTTACAAGCTTTTCTTTACTTTCAGCAATTTCCCTATTAATTTCAGTAAGGATCTAACTTTTTACCACCTTCGATCCTATTGATACTCGATGACACCAACATAGAATTCATGGACCTGTAGCTGTGTACTAACATTTCTCTCCTGTCTTTTGTACTTGTTTATCCGTGGATAATATGCATTTCCTGAGAAGCTACAGTTTTCATTTCCTATAAGACATGTGCAGAAGTACTTTCCAAAGGTTGAAATAAAGGTAAACATGCATGCAAGTTCTAATGCTTTTTTGTGGGGTTTTTCATGGTACGAGGATTTACACTCAGGCTTCATGCTTGCTAAGCAGACACTTTGCCACTTGAGCCACATCCAAGTTCTAGTGCTTTCTTCCCGTTCACCACTGAGAGTGCATCATCATGTTCAGTCCCTCCATAACTTAGGGGACACACTAACTGCTTTGTAAAAATGCTGGGTACGTTAAATTTCCTTTTTTTAGTTGGGGAGAATTTATTTTCTGAGATGGTCCTGAGTACCCAGTCACTAGTAAGAAGCAAAGCCTGGTGGTGGAGGTCAAGCTCAACTGTAGGGGGCTAGAGCAGGTACACAGAAGCCTCTGGGATTCCCAGCCCACTTAGTTTAAGGAATCTGCTATAGCTCTGATTCTGGGTTTCAGAATCTGTTCCCACCTGAGATGGCCTCTTTTTCTTCCACTGGAAAAGCGCCAATAAATTTTACACTTTTTTCCCCAGGTAGGATGACAATGATTATAAAATCAGCTCAAAAACTGTATTCATATACATGGCCTTTGCAGAATAAAAGATCTTTGCCAATGAATCCAAACAAAATAAATGCTCATTGTTACCATGTTGCCTCCTTTCTTAGGAAGCAGTGACTGCACATAGTCCATGTGCAGGATTTCTGGGATGCTGGGTCATGTTCAGGTACATTTTTCCTTGTGTTTGCACTCCCTCATGACTAGCAGAAACAGGACCAGAAAGGTTTTCAAAAGGAACTTCTTCACAGGGCAACAGCTTCATAATTATGCCTAGAGTGAGCATTTATCAGCTAAATTTGCAACATTAACTCTGGCAGCCATGAGCAGGGAGGCTTTCACTGTTCACTGAATCTGCTGTTTTACATTAAACAGCAAAGATTTATGAAGGAAGTAAAGCACCAAATCATATCTAAGTGAAATTATTTTTACAGACAAGGGGAGAATGCCAATCTTTTAAAGCAGGTACTTGGCTGTTGGAATCCATCAGTGAGTCTTAAAATGCAGTGAGTAACTAGCATTACCAATATCATTCCTGAGAATCAGAGACCCAAGCCTGTTTTTCTACCACTTTGAGCCATGCCTCTGGCTCAAGCCTGTGTTTTTAAGATGGGAGAGGTTATTTCCCTCTTCCCTTTATCCATGGTGGGTTCACAGGGATGTCACAGCAAGGCCTGTGTGTCAACAGCCCTTCTTCTTTGAAGTGAGTTTTTGTTTCATTTCTTCCTCCAGGTACTGTATACCTGCTTTGTACTGAGATGCCCTCTGCACTCTTCAGTGCTGCGGACAGAAGTTCATTACTGCCCTGCAGCATTCGCCCCACAGACCTATCTTAATTTCATAGTGTTTATCGCAATGATGTTTGTAGTAATACTATTTGAAATGATCAAGTTCATCCCTAGCACTGAAAAAAGAAAAGAGAAGACAAGAAAATAAAAGAAAAGATTAAATAGTCACTGGATATTGTGGCACACACTTGTAATTCTAGCACTCAGGAGGCAGAGGCAGAGGCAGAAGTATCACAAGTTTTAGGTCAGCTTGGGGTACATTGTGAGACCTTGCATAGAAGAAGAAGAAAGAGGAGGAGGAGGAGGAGGGAGAAGAGGAAGGGGGAGGAGAAGAAAGAAGAGGAAGGGGGAGAGGAAGGCGGAGGAGAAGGGGGAGGAGGGAGAGGGGAAGGGGAAGGAAGAGGAGGAAAGAAAATCATCAAATGTGAGGCTGTCTCTGAGTTTTGGTTGTCCTCCCTCTGCACCACTACCCAAAGCTAGCCTCCTTGAAATCAGCAAGCATTTTCCAGTGCACAAATACATTGGAATTAAGCAGGCTGAGAGAGTTTCAACATCTTGTTTCCACAGAAGTGCATTCATCATGTCATGTCATGTTCTGTTCCCGCAGAACAGGTGAGGTTCCTAACCTCACTTCTGTGGTGACAGAATTCTGAAAACCTGGATAAAATACACTCAATACCCTCCATGGACCAGGACTGTGGTTTCTTTCTCAAAAGAAGCACTGGTTTGGTCCAGGATAACTTGGCAGTACACCTAGCAGGAGATCAGGATGAGAAGAGACTGTTGGGAGGCCGATGCCAACACACAAGTGGCAACCCCAACCTCACACCCGTCTGTCTTGGAGCAGTGATACTGAGAAAAGAGATGGAGAGAGAGAGGAGCACAGGCAACTGTAATTTGAAGAGAAGGCAGGGAGGCAGTGAGAGGAGAGTGCTTGAGGTCTGTAGATTTTGCTGCATGGAGCGCAGATGGAGGAAAAGCATTCCCGCCTCCTTGTGCTCTGGACTTGGCTGTGCTGGCCAGTAACTTGTCTAAGTTTATTTTAAATTATTCTTTATTATTGGACTTTGCCAACAAAGCCAGCATATTTGTTAAATTCCCTAACTCAGTTACATTTGTGATAACATATCCAGACAGACTTCATCTTTCTCAATTAATAAACTATTTCAAGGGATTTAACATTGTCATCTTGACGTAATCTCAGCTCCCTGAGAAAATCTAATCAACTGAGTTTGATGCACCCTCCATCCCTACATTAATTATACTTTGGTGGCTTTTATTGGAAAGAATACCTTGATGTTGCTGGCATCAAGGGTAAGTGAGCAGCCAAGAATCCTGACTGACATGGTATTACTGAGGAGAACAGACTCGTTCTCAGTCACCTGTAATGAGGAAAAACTTGTTTACCAATTTTCCATGTATATTTCACCCTCTTCCCTCTCCCTGAAACCCCTGCAGTAACGTGGATTCGGGGCTGACCACAGCCTAAAGGCAGTGGGAAAACTGGCCATGTGATCCCCCAGGGCTTCACATCCCACTCCGAGTCTCACTTCCCTGGTGGAGTGTCAAAATTTTCTCAGGGGCACCACCCTGTCCTGCACTGTCCATTCTTGTTACCCATGACATGGGTGAGGTGCTATGTTGGGTTCTAACCTGGCCTTGGTGATAGTTTTAGGAGTAGGCCAGAGACCTGTTCATCACCATGAGATGTCCTGAAAACATCTTCTCATGTCCTGAAAGAGTATCACTTTTATTGACCTCCAGTCTACAAGACATGAGTCTGAAGCTTCTAGGATGATCCAACATGGTAGAGGTTGGGTTGAGCAGCACAGATGAGTCCTGAGGACACCATCTGCAGTCCTGGATCATGCCATGCCTGAAGCCTCTAGTTTTTGGTTACATGAACCCAGTGGTTTGAAGGGCAAGACTCTAACACTGGCATAACTGTCCCATGTTATGTGGGAATTGCTAGCTCGGCCACATGTTTCTCTAACCCCTGCTGCCCAGGATCCAACACCTGGAAGTTCCTTCAGATCACAGATGCATCTCCCTGCTCAGCCAGCCCTGGTTTGCACCATCACTGGCCACTCTGGTTCAACTCCACTGCCCAGCCCCTGCTCCCACTCTGAGAGTCTGGGCCTCCCTGGTGTCTACGACTGCTGAGCAGCTCCCTTGGGGTCCTTCCTTACCAGGGCTTTGTTGGGCAGGCACTGTTCTAGTAGTCTCAGCCTAATGTTTTCTTGGTCATCTTGCCTTCAGGGAACCCTCTACTCATATCCAAACCCTCTCTCTCCTGGCTCTTATCACTTCCCAAGGCACACTTCACCACTAGAGTGTCAGCTGTGCCAACCACATACCCCTGGTCTCATCTGTTTTTTTGTTAAATAAACATTTTATACCTACATAGGGAAAATACAAGAAATTATCTATACTAAGGGCCCCCTTTGAAAGTCACTCTTACTTCCCCACTTGCCATGGTTGAAAAAAGAAAACACAAACATTAAGGTATTTATACATCACATCTGCTTGTGTCTGAGTATTAAGTGAAGGTAACAAATATGCAAGTTCCCAGCAAGCGAAGATGCCAAGTGGACCATTGTTCTGAAAAAAAAAAAAAGATGACCTGCCAAATAAAAACTACAGATGCATCCATGTGTCACAATTTTAGGATGAACATGTGTGAAAATCATTTCACAGTCCCATTAATAGTATTCACTCTAAGGAAAACAGTTCTTTAATCATCAATAAGAGATTGGTTACCAAGTGCTTTAAAGGCACTGATTCAGATAAACATATATTTTTTAACCACTAAAATGCAGTGATAAGTATATTAAATGGAGGAACTATAAGCAAACAGGTCATAAGATTGCTTTTATTATTAGACAGTGCATAGTAATCTAACCAATCAGAGTCATTACAACTAGAAAGGATATTTAAAAGTTTGAACCAACAATTGCAATTCATTTAAAGATGGCATCTAACCTTTCTTTTTTTGGCAGATTCAAAGTTCATGTTTTCCAAAGCCAACTTATACCATATATACACTGAAAGCTGCACTGTGTGTACAGATGGCTGTGTATACCACTTCTTTTCCTGCCAAAATAACAATTTTCTCTTAATCATTATTTCACAGTTGCACATGGGTTCCTGATACACTTGCTGTTTTCCCTGGAGCCCTGAGCATGGCAAGTCCTTGGGTTCCTCAGCTACAACAAACTAGGGGACTACCAGCCCTGATAATTGGCTGGCAAATTAAGCTGCCTAACTATTGCTCCTCTCCCACTCCCCAAACACAAGTTTTTCCTTTCACCTACCACCCCTCAGGTCTCTGGGGTTATCAGGGACTACTGCACCCAGGACCAAAGCTACAGTCTTTGAGGAGACCATTGGCTCCCCCTCACCACTCACCAGCTCCTTTCCAGAGACTCCTTTCTCCCCTGGACAAGTGGTCCAAGCTCTCACCATGTCATATCTGCTGCACTGGGCCATATCCATATTCCCTGAGCTCCTGACATCACCAAGACTCACAGAACAACCTCAATGCTTTGCCACACCACAATGAAGTCTATCCACCACAGCCAGGGCACTCCACATACTAAAAAAGAGACAGTTTCAAAATGAACCTGCTATTACAAAGTGACACATCTTTTAAAATCTTCTTAAGCTATATTTACCTACCTCATTTTAAATTCTCTCCCCAAATAGGTTGAGAGATATCAAAATTGAGATATACCTGCAGAAATAGGATCCTTACTGGAGCCTAGAAATCTCCAATTTGGACTCCATCATGTGGTATTTTCTCACCAATGATTTAAAATAAAAATTAAATGGAAAATATGTTGTTCCTAGATGAGGGGGTTCCTCAGATTTCCAGTTTCCATGTGAATCACAGGTACTTGAAATCCACAAACTTGAAACCATTTCAAGGTGTCTCACAATAAAGAGTCTTACATGCGGAAGTTTTAGCAAGGATTTATTTTAGTATAACAGGATAAAATAGGGAAAAGTGGAGAAAAGGGAGGGAAATATTTCCTGTTCCCCATGAAAGAAATGTGAGTAAAGATTCAAAATGGTGGTTTTTAATCTGTAGTCTTTATAATTTATACACATTGTCATGCCACCTAGCAACCCCTAATCATTAGACAATGGATCTGCGTGTCCAAGATAGGTGCTGTCTATTATTTTAAAACATGGAGACATGACCTAGGCCTACCCAAAACACAGGGAAAATAGGTGAGTTTTAGGACTTCCCTTTGCCAGACATGTCTTTTGTTCTTTCAGTTTCTATCCCTTTAAGGAGACCTGCAACTTTTAAACATCTCAAAGAGGAAGACAGATGCACATAGCCCCTGTATGTCTCTCTGTTCTTTTAATGTAGCATCTCAAAGGAGGTGGGAGGGGGGCTAGCTGCTCTGGCTTTTCAGTTTTTTACTTCTTCCTTTAAATGTCTAAGTCTGGTCCCTTTAATATTTATTAAAAATAATAGAATTTCCCTGTCTTCTCATCTATCTATCCTGCCTCAAAGTAATCCATTTTGGCTTTTACAAACTTGAAAGCAGTTAAAATTCATATATCCCCCAAATGGATGGACACATCTAATGTTTGTTTTGTGTGGATAAAACAACTTTATAAAAAGAATAACCAGCTTTGCTCTTCCAGGGAGCTCTGAAGCTTGCTAGCTGTCGAGATGTGTGACTTCAGTTTTACCTCATTTCCTAATAGTGACAGCTCTAATTATTGCAGAAATGATTTACCAGGCTGGTATTTTGTGCATAAGCAGTTGATCTTACTACCAATTTTTGGCCCCAAACTAGGTCTTTTTCCCTCTCAGAATTACAGAAACAATAGCAAGATCAAGCACCAATTGAATTGTGAAGGAGACTTTTATTCTCCTCTAAGAATAAGAAGTGGGACATAAACGTGCAATTCAATTTCTCAGAGGTTATAGACATAGAGTAAGGGAGATTACCTTCAGAAGTCAGGCACCACCTCTTTTCTCTCTTATAATTGCTCTTTCTGGCTGTTGTCATGGCAATTGTCAATTGTCATGGTATGGAAGTTGTCACCTGGCTTGCAGATTGAATACAATGAAGTTAGAGGTAGTACAACAGTGACTCTAGCAGCCATCTTAGATCCAACCAGTTTTGGTAGCCCACCTGAAGAGAGGCTTCTGGTCTACAGACCTCTTGAACTCAAAGATAAACAAGATTAGGGCAGTGTAGAAATTCAGCTAGGCAGTGCAAGATTGAGACAAGCTAGCAATCTGAGCAGCCAGATTAAGAGAAACTGAGGCTGTGATTCTTGGCTAAGGCAGAGGAACTTGAAATCCTGTTTTCATCTTGTTTAGATTTTTTTAAAGCAATAGTTTTGCAGAGCAGCATTTTCTTGCAAGCATATCACTGTTAACTAGGAGAAACATTTCCCTCTATAATTTGCTGGGTACTAAAAACTGCAACTCCCCCCCACCACACACACACAGAGAGAATTGGAAAGCCAGATTGCAGATTAACTCTCAGGAATAAAGCATTTGGTTCTCTTATGAGAAAATTTTCTTCAATAAAAGGCATAGTAATTCATTAAAATTCCCACAGAAAGGTTTTCTGAGTCAAGGGACCTGGCCACTCAGGAAAAAATTGCTAACAATACTTAGGCCATGGCCTTACTGACATTGCTAATGATATCGGCTCTGTTTCACCATGTTGGCACAAAGGCCCTGTCAAAGGGAGGTGCTATTTCTTCAGCTGAATTCCTGACCCTAGGATATCTCTAACTTTGCTCTTGCGCACCATGAGAAGGACACATTCTTCACAGTTGTGTGTGTGTGTGTGTGTGCGCAATCTACTTACAGGAAGATGTCTGCTCCTCCCTGGTTCTGGGTGGGAAGGTGAGGTTTTTGCTGAATTTCCTGTGACAATCCTCTGTCACCTGCTGGTTGAGTCACTGATGCTGGAGTTTGGCTCAGTGTGACTAAATCCTCAATGCATCACTGGCTAGCAGTCCAATAAGTGGTTCTGATTCAGTTGCCTCCACATGTCCTGCAAATGTAGGCATTTTCTTTCATCCGGATTCTTATGACTGCTACCCGAATTTAGATATCTTCAGTCTTACAGCCAAAGCATTGGCAGGTATGGTGTCTTTTTGGGGTTATAAAAGCCAATTAAACTCATAAATATTTAGATAAATTGATTAAATGAGTAAAGATTAAAGAAGCTAGGCACTTTCACAGATAAAAGCTCATTTCTCCCTTGTGGGAGGTGACTGTGGTTCTCCTAACTATATTGACAAGTAATTCTCAGATAAAAACCTGAGTCCAATCAGTACTTTCCTTGCCACACAGGCTTTTCACTTAGGTTGCGTGAATGGTTAATGGATATTTAAAATGATCTAGAAAGCTAATATAAAGGACATCTTAGGATTTACATTGGAATAAAGTTATTGTATTTTGTCATAATTAAGTCAATACCATGGTTTGAATGTGTACTTCTAGCCATGTATTAGACCCTTAGCCTCCAAACTCATTTTAAAGATATTGGAGTGGCACCATTGGGTGGTGATTAGGGTTAGATGTTATACTGAGGAGCGGAGCGTGTGGTGGCATTAATGTCATTATTAGGAGAGAAAGAGAGATGATTTCTCTTTCAGAGCATGCCACTCTGTCTCACCATGTGATGCCCTGAGCTGCCCCAGGACTCTGCAGAGTTCCCACCAGCACTAAGGACCTCCCCAAATGCGGCCACCCAATCTTGAACTGTGAGACAAATAAACCTTTATTGTCTATCAATTACTCAGTTGATAGTATTTCAGGTATAACAAGAGAAAATGGCCAAGATAGTATTCATTTGAAATAAATTGTAGAAAGCTAAAAGAGGCATACTGTACACTCTAGAGAAACAACTGAAGGATGACTCAAGAACAAGTTAACAGTGTGTAGAATTAAATGTTCACTAAAAATTTCTTAAAACCAATGAATAAAAAAGGAAAGAAGACACAAACAACTGATCAGAAATGAAAAATGTGTTGTCGTCACAGACCTCAGAGAATTGTAGTTACTGATAGGAAGAGCAATGGTTAGAAATGTAAATATTA